ATAATCCAGAACATCCCCTAGATATTGAAACGATGTGACTTTCTCTATTTTAATGGCTTCAAAAACATTGCTATTTCGAATTTGTTGTTGTGCATTGATGCAAGCAGGACAAACAAAATTGGACACTTTAGATAAAGTACCAACTATTTTTGAACAACGTTTGTGGCACCACTGGTTATACTGCTGACACTTGATTGAATTGTTACCTACACCAGCTTTACAAACTGAACAGGGCCATCGTCCAGTAGCTGTGGATTGGATGGGTTCACCAGTGTTCATTGCTTTGGTTTTGCTGATGTTGACTTTGAATCCATGATCGGCGAGTCTGGTGTTCCAATGTTCAAACATCTGTGCTGCATTCTGCTCAGAGGTGGCTGTTAAAACGATATCATCAGCATATACTAGATTCCAAATGTCACCAGTGCGTATCGGTTTTTTGATTTCTTCCATCACAGTTATAAATAACAGTGGACTGAGAATCGAGCCTTGGTGAACTCCAACGCCGATGTCAAATGCATCTGTATTTCCAACCGTTGTGCTGACAAGAGTCTTAGTATTCGTATACATTTCCATCACAAGTCGAACAAGATATTCTGGAATGAGTTGTCCTCATTGCTTCACGGGTAACTCGATCAGATGCTTTTTCAAGGTCTTCAAAATGTGTGATAGTTGTTGATGCTTTGCGAGGTACTTCTCTTGCAGTTTCCGAAGAATGTGAATTGCAACAATTGTTGATTTCCCCGCTAGAAAACCAAATTGATAATTTCCGATTGTGATGCACGACGTTAATCTTCTCTCAATGATTTTCTCGACAATTTTCATGGAGTTTTCTAACAGACGTTATACCCCGATATGATGAACAGTTCAATGGATCACCTTTGCCTTTGTATAGAAGAACTGTCATGCTATAGTTCCATTCAGAAAGGCATTGAGCAATTTCTCCAGATTTCACGACAAAGTTGTAGTAACGTTTGGACACCTGCAGTACCAGATGCTTTGATAATGTCATTTGTGAGTCCAGAGGACCCTGCTGCCTTTCCATTCTTCATAGCTTTCAGAGCTTCTGTCAGCTCCTCTACAGTGATGTCTGGAATCGGACCTTCGATGGGTGGAACGTTTTTGAATAATCTTCGGTGCTGTTGCTTGACAGTGATGAAATCAATTTGCGTGGCTGATGGTCCACTTTTGTATGTTATGAGATGTTCCAACCTCTTTCTAAAATATGTGTTCAGTAAACAAAACCCGTGACTTTCAGCAAACTTAAGGATGCGGTTGCCATCTTCATTCCGTTTTCCATAGCCAAAACCGCCATGTACGTTGTCAAAACCATCTGTTTTCTCGCCAACGTGGCCATTGAGATCGCCTCCAATCAGGATTGTTTCAGATTTTGGTATTGTTGAGATGGTGTCAGAGAATGCAGTCCAGAAGTCATTTTTCATCTCTTCTGATTCGCCTGTCTGTGGTGCGTATGCAGAAAAAATAATCATTGTTTGCTTTTCTAGGCGAAGCTTGATCCACATGAGACGTGAATTAATCCTTTTAATATCCAGTACTTCTTGGGCTAGCGGTTGGTTCTCTGACAAAAATTCCAACACCATTTTTGGCCGTCTTTTGACCATTCCTGAATAGTTTATATTTTTCTTTGTCTGAGTTGACATGACAGACACCATTCGATTTCCATCGGGTTTCCTGAAAGCAGCAGATGTCAATCCTTCTACGCTCGAACATTTCTGCGATTTCCATGCTGCGGCCAGTCAGTGATCCAACATTGAGCGTTCCAAGTCTAAGTACCATAGAGGGGCCATTCTGAATTTTTCTGCAACATCCCTCCGCTATTGCATACTTCCCAGGGATTCTTGGCACCCCTTGATCACTTAAGGCCTGCTGGGGACTAGGGGCCGTTGTTTTTCTTTGTGATGGCATAGGAATAATTTGGGGAAAAGTTTTTACATCCGGGCACCCATCCTGACGACAACCACCAGTTATAAGCAGTGGGCCTAGCCTTTCGCTCAAAAGCACGCAAGGCAGCGTGGATGCAGTTTTATGTCACACCCAGGACGAAGAGGTATACCAAAGGAAAAAAAAATGATTAAATCAGCTAAAGCAATAGATTGATTAATAGAATCTATTTTTAAATAAGAGGTATACCAAAGGAAAAAATGATTAAATCAGCCAAAGATTGATTAATAGACCTTAGTTGTAAAGTCGCTGCATACAATAAATGGATGGTCTTGACCGCTGATAGTCTAAGCTGGTTGATGAAACTGGTTAACTTAAAACCTGTTTTGGCGGCCAGTAGATAGGTGAAATAGATAGATGACGAATATGTAGTAAATTTTAAGGACAAATTTTCAAACTCATTGTGTATTGCGTCGGCGATGGAGAAACCCTTGAGTAAATTGATGTAAATAATTTGTCTTTGGAGAAGCTTTTAGAAAAATGGCAGAGGGTGCTAAACTATGTAGCATGATGGTAATGTTGCAAACCTTGACGTTCAAAACTATACAAACCGATTTTATAACTTCAATGATCTTTATATTTCCATCACCAGTATTGTAGCTTCCAACGATCGTCAAGTGTTCGTTATTCCATGGGTTCCAGATTTCCGATGAATGAACACAAGTGCTTCAAACGCAAACTTTGTTGAACGTTTATTTGAATATCAACAGTTATAGAAACAATAAAATCTAGATTAAAAGATTGCAAATATAGCAAAGATAACAATAATCAAATAATAAATAGTATAGCGCAATTTGATCATTTCCGCGGTTATAACATTACCCCCACCTCAGCCTGTTAATCCTTAACATAGGCGTTACTTTTTAATTTTGATAAATAAGAGATAATCTAGACAAAATTGAAAACTTTCATCTTTGTCCATTTTCTTCCAGGATCACAAGTCTATCTTTATCTTGTTGGTGATTTTGTATCGACTTTTCCAATTCTTTGGGAGTTTGTCTGGGTATCTTTTGCATCAATCTTTTCAATTCCTTGGGAGTTTCGTCGGGCACTGCCTTTTTCCGAACCGTAGGTCGTACAACTAGACCAGGTCTTTGTTCTTGATATATGCGGTATTTCATGTCAGGTTATACCGCATTTCCGTTGTTTCGGTTCCTCTAGCTTTCTTTCTATTGATTTTACGAGGTGTAAAATGACCAGACGGGTATCTTTGATGCATATTGTAAAATTCGTTGCCGATCAGTGGTGGAGCGATAAAAAACTCATCCTCACCAGCAATTAAGCCGTTTTTGATATTATCATCCAGGTAGACGAGAACCAAGCCTTTATTTTACGTGCGTGTTGGAATATACCTCAAAACGGAAATTATCGTCTGCCCCAATTCTCAATACTCGCATTAACATTAAAATCATCTTCACTGACGTCGTTAAATCTCCAGATTAATGCTTTCCCTGAAAACGTCTTATCCAAATCATCATCAAAAGTTGAATCATTGGTGGGTGTTGCATTGTAATCGTTGTTGCTATTAATACCAATGCTATTGTTTTATCGATGAAAAAGGGCGAGTTGTTAGCAGAAAAATCCGAGTAGTAGTACCACTGCATATCAAAAATTTCGGTGTCTTTATCACTGCTAACTTCTCGAATATTTTTGAAAACTTCCTTGTCTTCGTTAGCAACTTAATTAATAGGGTGATTCTAGGTTCTTCACGACAACACGTGCATCGCTGTTAACACGTGCGTCGCAGTCAACACGTGCTTCCATGGGAATGATAGACTTGCAATCGCAAATGTAATTGTACGTAGTTGAATAAGCTAGTGATAAGCTGCCAAGAACTTCCGGATTTTGTGTAATTGTTTCTTTGTTATTTTCGATTATCACTTCACTAGGTGATGTTTTTCAAAAATCTGATCGTATTAATCTAATCCATTCCACTCCGTGTTGATCGATCATTCTGTTCATATCGGCTGTATGTTCATCGAATATTCTATTAATTTTGACTGTCCGTTTATCAAATTTTCTATTAATTTTAACGAACTGTTCTTTCATAAGATCCGGAAAATCGAACTCATACAGATCGATTTCATTTTTCATTAGAGAGCCTCTTTCGTGTCGCAGTTTCTTCTTCAGACTAGTTGTATTGAATTCTTTTAGCGCTGGCATTCTTTACTGCAGAGAGTTTCAAGCTATAAAAAATCTTACTTCTGACCTTCTGATGTTGTAACCCTTGACGGTCCTAACCACCAACACCGATGTTGTAACTTCCATAATCTCTATATATCCAACACCAGTGTTGTAGTTTCTAATGCTCGGCAATTTTTCGCTATTCCTTAGGTTCAAGATTTCCGATAGATGAACGCAACTGCTTCGAACGCAAACTTCGTTGAACGTTTATTTGAATACATACCAAAAATAATAGAAACAAATAAACTAATCCAAGTAACTACATAAATCACTTTTACGATTTCGCTTTCTCTGCTGGAAACCTGGTTGTAAACATGACTAATCAGGACATATTTAGATTTTTAGCATAGATACAATATTTCTTTTCTTTACAATCTTCCGTAGTTTACAATCCCCAAATTACAAATTTAGCAAAGATAACAATAATCAAATAATAAATAATATTGCGCAATTTATTCATTTCAGCGATTATAACAGTATTTACGTTCCTGCGATAACGAATATGTCAAAATTTCATCCTTAATGACATCGTGTAACAAAAAGATTTATTAACCGCTACATTTAATATTAGCTTGACGACAATTATCACTAGTTCTCCTGTTCGACGATATTACATTTTTGTAGATCGGTATGAGTGTAAAAACAACAAAAAAGTTATGGAAGTTTTACGATGTTACCATGTGTTCTTGTTAATTTTACGCGCGTTCATTTCCACTCATAAAATAACAACAAAATACTGGCCCAATATTTGTATTTCTGCAAAAAATGGCTCAATATATGTATTTCTGCTTCTTTTACTGGGTTATTAACACAACGGCTAATACTTATTTTCTCAAAATTTTGTACAATGACGGCCGCCGTAAAACTTGGGTTTTCGCAAGTGATTCCTAGAAAATGAAATTGCAAGTAGAATATGGAAAGAACTGAAATAAATTTGCCTAAAATACGTAAATTAACCAACACGGATATTTCACATTGACACCTAAACAAAAACTACGAAAGATCCTGAAAAAACAGTTTTTGATATTTCTTCCACAGCTAGATATTAGCCAGCCAGCTCTATCTTTATTTATTGACAAATTTGCAAAATTTGAAAATTCTGCGAATCGTTTATGTTGATAAATGTAAGAGTGTTAATTGAAAAAGGATTCACATTTTCACTCATTTGTAAAAAACATTAAGTTATGTTATGTTAGGAGTCTCGTGGCCGAGTGGTTAGCGTGTCCGTCTACCACTCCCACGACCCGGGTTCGAATTCTGCAGTTTCTACAGATTCATCCGAGTAGCCGACCCCCGGTCAACCCAGCCGTCCATCCTTTCGAGGTTGGTGAATGGGTAGACGACGTAAGTTGTCGCATGTTGGCTGGCGAGATGGCTCGGTGGTTCAAATGCTCGCTGAGTCAAAACATCTCAATGGCTATCATATACTCAGCGTATATGATGCGGTGCTTGCGCGTGCACATAAATACATGTGTACGGCGTGTGAAAAGGATAAACAGCCTTTGTGGCGAAAGATGGCTGCTTCAAATCAATAGATGAAGAAAAGAAGAACATAATAAAAGATATATAGATAACATAATATATCTGTAACATTGTAAGTGGTTCTGCGTATGTCAGAGCTGCAATAATAAAGACTAATAAAAAAATTGTTTAGAGTGTTTTAATTATTTATAGTTCTTGTCACACTTTGTATTGAACGTTTAATGATACAAATAAGATAAATAAATGATAAAAGTGGTGACCACCACAATTTAGGATGGTTTTCTGAAAATTCGTATTTGTAAATTGTCGATTTGCCAAAAACCCAAATAAAAGAACTAAAGAGTTGGCTCTATAGTGAATGATCTGAAAAAATATGCCTGTCTACATCAAATTTCACGTTTGTCTACCGAAAGGTTGATTTCAAAAGATTGTACATTTGTAAAACATAAATATCCGTTTTTCACTGATGTATTCGCATTTCATATTGTCAGACATGATCGACCTGCCACCATACATGATCGATATGGTCTTTTAATGGCTCAAACCATATTTGGCTAGTAGATTGCAAACGTTGCTGGTTCAACTTTATTCATTTTCAATTAATTCATGAAGTATTTAACAGATATCATGGGGTTGTGAAAATACCGGTTCTAAATTTTCATCTATAGGAAAGCAGTATCCAGTTTAATTAATGTAATGTTAAAAACAAAGGTTCATGAGAAACACCGCTTTGTATTGGTAATAAAATTTAACTTAAGTTTTAAATTAAAAATTTTTCAAATTAATTTAGGTTAGCAATTAAATAAAATATTATGTTTAAGATGAAACATAAAAAAATTACTTCAATGAAATGAAATCATTATTCATAAAATGCGATTTTCTTTTACAGACTTCGCACGTATAACTAGTAGACCTCCTAAATGGAAAGTAAACAAATTATCACAATGAAATTAATTCAACTAAACGCCATCATTCAATAAAAATTATAGACTGCTAGTTACGAAGTTTGTGATAAAGGCTCTAAATATTCGACAAACCCGCAACGATCACCGTATTTAACCCATAAAATGTTTGAAACAAACAATTTTTAGATTTTTTTAAACTTTTGTGACTCTTATTTATTTGTATCAATGCATATAATGAATCCAAAAACTTTAAAATATACTACCTGGAATGAAATTCTGACACCAATAACCTAGTCTATTGGACCCCGCGCTATATTACAAAAGTTTTATATGAGTTTTATATAGTTTTCTGCGTAACTTTTTTCTTCACTTTGCAGTCATTTTGTCTTGAATATTTCAACAACTTTTATAACGTTATGTCGTGATTTTCATTATCGTGATTGGCGTTTATAATTCAAAAAAAAAAAAATCAAATATTGAGTTGCGGAACATAATAACAAAATAGTTTCCAAAAAAAGTTTCAGAGTAATGAAATTCGATAATGCTCACTCGCGCAGAAAACAAATTTCTAGACAAATTTCAACCCAATAGAAAAGTATTTGAGCTGCAAAACTCCAGTTTAAAAAGAGGCATACAAGTTAGAATCATGCATAACTGTAAATGAACAGTTGATAGAAATCAACTCCCTAAAATCAATTCAATCAAACCCTAAAATAGAAAATTTAGACAATAACAACCCTCTAATCAATCTTCGTTTTGCGTCCAGAGACCCGGTTTCCCGAGGTAGGACGTTGTTCTCTCTGCCATCAAATTTTGCGCCAAATTAGACGATCAGTTGTATCCATTTCATTTAAATTTAGAGCTTTCATGTCTTGCTCGATTGTTTGCGACCAGGACTTCTTCGGACGGCCTTTGGGACGTGTGCCAGGTACTTCAACACCTGCAAGAGAAGTTATGGCACTGTTTCTACTTCGTTTGACATGACCAAACCACCGCAGACGGTGTTGCTGGCATTCGTCCTTTATATCATCTAAACCAGCACGACGCAGGATTTCGGTAGATTTGATGTGGTCCTTCAGACTAATTCGTTGCATCCATCGGAGCATTTTCATGTCGGTTCGTTGAAGTTGTTGTTCCAGTTTGGTTGTCATTGGCCATGTTTCTGCACCATATAACAACACCGGACGTATCACAGATTTATAAAGTCTTGATCGTAATGGTAGTGGGATGTCACGCCGCATCAATATAGAGACAAGGGGATGCCATGAATTAGAACAGCGGTAAATAAAGAAATGTTGTTGCGTGGAACATCATTCGTTTAAATCAGGTACGGTATTCTATTTGAACAAGGAGCAAACAAGGAACAACCTTTTAAGACGGTATTGATTTCCTAAAGAAGAGGTAGAAGTTGGACATGGGCTCATACTCAGTTTTTAACATGTTAGCTTCTAATTCACCAGTATTCGTTGAGTTAGTATGTGCAAAGTGATCCTCAAGTTCTATTTATAAAACAATCAGTTTACCGGATTTTGGTTGTTTAAACAACCGTTTGCCAAAACGTTGAGTTTGCAGGAAAATCTTGTCTGGATTTTTTTTGTCGTTATTTCCTTCCCCATAATCTTTCTGCACGGCGAAACTGGCTTAATTTCCACATGATGTCATCCCCAACATTTTTAAAGAGGTTCTTCTCCATTTGTCCCTACCCATAATTTCCTTTTGTCTTGATTTTTAAACCGTTTTTCGAAAACAAATTCACACAATTTTTGACCAAATATTCCTGAATAAACAAACATGAACGGCATGTTATTAAGGCTTTGGTGATTTTCACCATCTTCCTTTTTATCAAAACAGAGGAAAATGTATTGCATTTTTAGTTTGGACATTTTACCTAATCCGAAGTGAGATTACACTGTGGTTCTCAACTAGATATGCAGTTTCTACCGTCTTACCAAATACTATATCCAAGCAAAAACATTTGCTAAGGCACGGCTGTCTGAAATATCTAAAACTAAATAGTAAGCTAACTATAAAAATCATTTAATAAAAATTTATAAACCAGAGCGCAGACAAAGCACCTCTTATAATTTTTCAAACGCGCATTTAAAAATCTATTGTAGATTTATACAATGTACAGTCCTCATAATCAAATGTTCAATCAATTAAATGGTAGAGCCAAAAATTTCCCTTTAGGTGTATTATTTTCAAACAACTTTTCTTCAAATTCATAACACTATCTAAAGTATAAGTAAAGAAAAAAAAGACTCCAGTCTCTAAAAAAATTCCGATTCTGGCAAAGTCTTCCGACTCCGACAACCTGATTGAAACGTTTAAATTTCAATCATTCAGCATTTAACTATGATAAAGCAAAAAATTATCAGTTTTTGCTGTAGCACCATCGTTTAAAGGCACCCTGTTTAAAAATAATTTTGCACTCGTTTGGTCGGCCCATTGGAAACATTACATCGTCAAACGATGATCAGGTAGTTTTTTTTTGGTTTATAATATTTTACCTAGGATGCGGTTGTTTACTAGTATTTTAATTAAATACTTCCAGAAAATACCAAATTTGCCTGACCTACATCAATTTTTGGCGCTATTTAGTCGTTATACAACACAGTGCATTGACTTCAAACAAAATATAGATATAGGATGACTGTAAGGAGCCTTCAACTTACTCATCGGATACATCTTAACAATATTATATTTATTTATATTACTTTCTTTACGAAAAGTACATAAATGTCAGCATATTTGTTAGTAAGTTAACGAAATTTAACACGTCGTGAGCCATTTACACTACAATTTATAAAAATTATATTGGTAATATTGATATATTTAATATTATTATAATTATATTGAAACACATATACACACAAATTTTAAAAATTATTCATCCTTCTTTCTACACAAGTCTTAGCAAAATGATGTTAGATAAAGTTTTGTTTTAGTTATTAACTGAAACATTAATTTAGCATCCTCTGTAAAATAATAAATGTAATAAAAGATTTTTGTGAATATAATTTATTACTATATTTAACAATTTGTAAAACTTATTAAAAAACTTACAAGTATTTAACAATTGGCGACACATTAAATACTGTTCCAAAATATTTTGACAATAAACGCCTTTTTCCATACATCATTTCCTGGCTTCAAATTAAAAAATATGTAGAAAATGTTCAATAAGACTATTTGCCTGGGTTTAGGGTTTATAAAAGTTTATAGGTTTTGCGTGCTGGATTTTAGGCATAATATTTAAATAAAAATTTGCTGATAACAACAATGGTAGATAACTAAAAACAGATCGTTGCAACGGTTCTCCATTCTTGTTTATTACTTGGGAAAAAAAGTAACACTCATTTACAGAGACAAATTAAAGATGTGGAAACATGAGTTAAAAATTAAACGTAACTGGGATCTTGAAAGTTTCAATTCACTTTCTACAAAACTTTTCTTTATAAAAATTATTAGTTTTGTTTCCCTTACATTTATGTTCAAACAAGATTTTCCTGACTGAAAATATGTTTTTTGAGGAGTGTAACAAAATTTGATCTCAATCCATCTTAATGTCGTAACTTTTAAAAAACAATTTTTGAAAATAAATTTTTCCTAATAATTGGGTTTATAAACTCCATTGGCATTTAATAAAGACCATTGATTAATCTTCTTTTTTAGACAACGCCTTGTCAATTTTGTGGCTGGTGCCAAAGAGCTTTTTAAAAAACTAAAAAAAATTTTTAAAGTAGATTTTAAAAAATTAGATAATCAATTTAATCCAATATTTTGAGTTTCAAAAATTCGAGAATGATTCACTAGCTCTTCTTCTGTTGGCACTGTCACAAACATTTAAACAAGCTGCTTGTTGAAGCAGTTTTAACTATCAGAAATTGGTATACCTACGGTTGATTAATTTGACGATAGTGGAGTTTACAACAATGAAACAAATAAATTGACTTTTAATAAGCTTATCATCGATTTAATAAACAAAGGATAAAACTTTGATAAAAACAACAAAAGTAACATGAAAAAACAGATTGAAAAAACAAGTATATAAAATGAAGATAAAAGTTTTTCCCCGACCGGCTTTGAATTTTAATAAATAAAGGATAAAACTTTGATAAAAACAACAAAGGTAAGATGAAAAACAGACCGAAAAACAAGTATATAAAATGAAGATAAAAGGTTTTGCTCGACCGGCTTCGAATTTTTTTTAATTTCAACAATAAATACCCGAATGTATTTATTTCATCAACAAAATAAATCATTTATAAAAAATAATTCAATTATTTTCAAGCCCAGGAATTTTGTGTGACATTGTTAACAATTTTTGAGTCTTGTCCGAAACTTGTAACAATGTAGAACGCCATATATCTTTATCTAAAAATTTTTGTTGAAATATTGATATATCATTGAAATTTTTACATGTTAACAAGGCAAAACGCCATATCTCTTTAACTTAAAAAAATTTAGTTGAGATATTGATATATCATTGAAACTTTTTGAACATACATATGAAACAATTATTTTAATAAAATGAATAATAATCTTTCCTCAAACCCAAAAGTAATATTATTAATTGTTTTAATATATTTTAAAAATACTTATATATATATATATATTTAAATAATAAATATATATAATAAATAAATATATAAGGTAACTATAGTTTTCTCCAGAACGATGATGCGCCCGAACGATGGAAGATTCGAGGTTTGATTGGTGTGGTAAACGGTGTTGATTATTATTTTGATGGTATCTTTGATGAAAACATTGGTAGACATCTTTAAAAATACCTGAACACATGCTAAAGTCATTGTTGCAAATTTGTTACGTCCTACCTCGGGAAACCGGGTCTCTGGACGCAAAACGAAGATTGATTGATTGAATTGTTGCAAATTTGCATCACGGAGACACCGTCCTACAGTCCTAATAAGAAGCTATACAAGGAGATAGATGGAATTGCTATGAGCTCACCTCTAGGTGTTCCATTCGCCTTTCAAGATATTGGTCATCTCGAAAAATCAATTTTTCAAAATAACATTTATGTGAGATACGTTGATGACATCTTTATATAAGATTCTAATAAAGTTAATGTTCTCAACAAATCCTATGCAAACTTCACCATTGAGCAAAAGAATAATAAACCACTACTTTTTCTTGATGTCCTCGTCAACTGCAATGAACTTAGCTTTGAAATTACAGTCTACGTAAAAATTTTAAATAAAGGCTTCAATGAAAAAGCAAATGCACTAAGCATATAAGACGATATGATATGATTATATAGTAAAATGATATACGGTAATTCCAGTCATTCCCATCTGAAATTAGCCGAAGCCATTCTCATCGACATAAAACAACTCTTGATGAACAATCAGCATAAGATTTCAACAGTACTCCAGACAAGAAGGACAATAATTAAATATACTAATAACACTAATGATACCGATGAAGAATCCGGTCTTCAAAAAATACGCTATCTACCGCAAAGACCGAGGAATAGGTCGAGGAGGTGGTCTCATACTACTCATCCACAACAGCATTCCCTACAGCATCAAGTCGTTACCAGATGTTCCAACAATTGAGTCAGGCCATCACAATCAACGCAAGCGACACAGATATCAACATTATCAACATTTACATCCCCCCAAAATCCACCTGCCAAACAGGTTTCACAGCATCCATATTCCAATTTTTATTAATCCCAAATGTCGTCTTGTTGGGAGATGTCAATGCACACGACCCACTGTGGTATTCAGGTCTAGAGGACACACGAGGAGAAGCCCTAGCCAGTGAAATCAAAAATTTTGGCTGCGGCACATTCAACTTGGACGAACTCCAGGTCTATCGAAAGAAATCACCGACCTATTGAAAAGACGAGATGACATCAGAGCTACAGATCCAACATCTAAGGACATAGCAACCACATCAACAATAATTCAACACAAAATCAACAAATTAAAACAATCGCGTTGGAAGGAGTTCCTGTGCACTTTCAACAGGATAACCAACACCAAGCTCCTCTGGAGCACCATAAAAGCTCTTAGCGGCAAACCAACTCAATACCCCAACATCGCTATTAATTTCAACAACAGGTCACTAACCAACAACCTGCAAATAGCCAACTCATTCAATAAAATTTTTACATCAGCTACGAAACATTCATCAAACAAACTAAATAGAATCACCAACAAAGCCGTTAAGAAACTTCCGCTTAACGACTATCCTACACTAACCCCCAATCAGGTTACAGAAGCTATTAAAACTTCCAAACCGTCCAAGGCAACAGGACCAGACAACCTGACAATATTTCATCTAAAACACCTTGGCCCAAAGGGAATTTCCTTCCTAACAAATATTTTTAACGAATCACTACGAACCTGTAGGATTCCTGAAATTTACAAGAAATCAAAAATCATTCAGATACTAAAACCCGGCAAACCAGTTAACGACGCGAAATCATACCGTCCCATATCTCTTCTATGTCCGGCAGCTAAAGTATTTGAAAAATGCATTCTGCCGATCATCTCGAATCACCTAACCTTAGCGAGCCATCAGCATGGTTTTCGCCCACTTCATTCTACAACAACAGCTCTCACCACGATGGTCACGACATCGCAAACGGCCTAAATCAGAAGAGGCCAGCTCACCGAACAATCTTAACAGCATTGGACCTCACAAAGGCCTTCGATACCGTTAACCATCGCATCCTAATCTCCGACCCCATGTCATCATTGCTTCCACGGTCAATTGTCCTCTGGTTGTCAAACTATCTGCATGGACGCTCTGCATCAACAGAGTTCCGTCGACAATTTTTAAAACAACGCACCATCCGCTCAGGAGTGCCTCAAGGTTCTGTATTTCACCAACTCTGTTTAACTACTACGTCTCCAAAATACCAAGCCCGCCTCCAGACGTCAAAGTTATCTCTTATGCAGACGATTTTTCAATCTACACTACAGGTCCGAATGCAGATGATTTGACACTTCGGCTCAATTGCTACCTTCCGAAGCTTTACGACTTCTTCAATAGCAGAAACTTGGAGATTTTCACCTCTAAGTCCACAGTCACCCTCTTCACCACTCACACTTCACAGTATCAACATCATCCAGCAATAAAAATAAATAACAGTTTATTACCACTCGAACATAATCCAAAAATATTAGGCCTCACGTTAGACACGATGCTGTCCTTCTCACAACACCATAAAGAAACAGCATCCAAGGCCTCAATAAGGAATAATATTTTAAAGGCACTAAGTGGTACAACCTATGGCCAGGACAAGGAAACTTTTTTACAGACCTACAAAACCATCGGTCGTTCAACAATCGAGTATGCCTGTCCTGCCTGGGCATCATTGACATCAGACTCAAGCTTCTCACGTCTTCAACGCTCCCAGAATGCCGCCCTGCGTCTGATTACAGGTTGCCATGTGATCGCTTCAGAACGGCACCTTCATTCAGAATGTCAAATGTTAACGGTAAGGCAGCATTCGGAGCTAATAGCATCACAATTCCTACTCCTATGCCATAACCCTAGCTACCCTTGCCATCATATCATTACGCAACAACACCCGCACCGCAACATAAAGACCACCCTCCTCTCCAAATGGGCTTCAACAACCCATGCGGTTCTACCAACAACCATAAATAGCGATTCTCTGAAGTCCGCTCTAAAAACACTTCAAATAACACCATCAAAGCCGCCACAGAGACGTATCAGTCGCCGTTGCTGTTGCTTGACGGATGGCCTCCACCTACACCAAAAATAGATCCAACAGAGGAATCACTTCCCAGGGCAAACAGACGGACCCTAGCCTAACTCCGTTCTGGCCATAGTATTTTTCTAAACAGCTACAAAAACAGAATCTACAGTGGGCACCTCAACATCTGTCCTTTCTGCAACAATCACACAGATGATGTACCGCATCTGTTTAGCTGTCCACAAAACACCACAAAACTACAAACAATAGACCTCTGGAGAAACCCAACTGCAGTGGCGGTTTGGCTCCGGCCTCGATTGGAACCCTAGGGGTCCCCCAGAATGGGGCAACAACAACATACCGATGAAGACACTGAAGAAAGTAAAATTGACCAAAGTGATATCACGAACAAGTAAAAGAAACCAATAAATATAGCACAATAAAATATAACATCAAAGTAATTAGCACAATAAAACATAACTCTAAAGCGATAAAACCTTACATCGAAGAATAAAACAAAACAGTTAGTCCGAACAAAGAAACCATATCAATTAGTTAAGAAGATTGTAAATTAACAAAGTCACTGAAAACAATAAATGCAAATTAGATTATACAAATTCCCTAAATAAATTGTAAAAATAATCAATCAATCTTCGTTTTGCGTCCAGAGACCCGGTTCCCCGAAGTAGGACGTTGTTTTCTTTTCCATCAACTAATTGCGCCAAATTAGAAGATCAGTTGTATCCATTTCTTTTAAATTTAGAGCTTTCATGTCTTGCTCGATTGTTTGCGACCAGGACTTATTTGGACGACTTTTAGGACGTGTGCCAGGTACTTCAACATCTGCAAGAGAAGTTAAGGCACTGTTTTCACTTCGTTTGACATGACTAAACCATCTCAGACGGTGTTGCCGGCATTCGTCCTTTATATCACCTAAACCAGAACGACGCAGGATTTCGGTTGTATTGATGTGGTCCTTCAGACTAATTCGTTGCAACGGAGCATTATCATGTCGGTTCGATGAAGTTGTTGTTCCAGTTTGGTTGTCCTTGGCCATGTTTCTGCACCATATAACAACACCGGACGTATCACAGATTTATAAAGTCTTGATCGTAGTGGTAGTGGGATGTCACGCCGCATCAATATAGAGGCAAGGAGATGTCATTTTTCCAGGCTGCACGTATGCGTGCTCAAACGGCAGCTTTAACTGTTCCAGTACAATCCAGAACATCCCCTAGATATTGAAACGATGTGACTTTCTTTACCTTAATGACTTCAAAAACATTGCTATTTCGAATTTGTTGTTGTGGATTGATGCAAGCAGGACAAACAAAATTGGACACTTTAGATAAAATACCAATTATTTTTGAACAACGTTTGTGACACCATTGGTTACACTGCTGACACTTGAGTGAATTGTTACCTACACCAGCTTTACAAACTGAACAGGGCCATCGTCCAGTAGCTGTGGATTGGATGGGTTCACCAGTGTTCATTGCTCTGGTTTTGCTGATCATGACTTTGAATCCATGATCGGCGAGTCTGGTGTTCCAATCTTCAAACATCTGTGCTGCATTCTGCTCAGACGTGGCTGTTAAAACGATATCATCAGCACATACTAGATTCCAAATGTCACCAGTGCGTATCGGTTTTGTGATTTCTTCCATCACAGTTATAAATAACAGTGGACTGAGAATTGAGCCTTGGTGAACTCCAACGCCGATGTCAAATGCATCTGTGTTTCCAACCGTTGTGCTGACAAGAGTCTTAGTATTCGTATACATTTCCATCACAAGTCGAACAAGATATTCTGGAATGAGTTGTCGACATAGACTTCACCTGATTGCTTCACGGGGAACTCGATCAAATGCTTTTTCAAGGTCTACAAAAATGTGTGATAGTTGTTGATGCTTTACGATGTATTTCTTTTGCAGTTGCCGAAGGATGTGAATTGCATCAATTGTTGATTTCCCCGCTAGAAAACCAAATTGATAATTTTCGATTGGTAACGTTTGGATACTTGCAGTACCAGATGCTTTGATAATGTCATTTGTGAGTCCATAGGGCCCTGCTGCCTCTCCATCCTTCATTGCTTTCAGAGCTTCTGTAAGCTCCTCTACAGTGATGTCTTCGATGGGTGGAGCGTCAAAGTTAACGTTGATGGGATTTGTTTCGTTTTACAGACGGTTGAGGTATTCTCTCCACTGTAGCTTGATCTCATCTTGTTCAAGGACCATCTCATTTTTGTCATTTTTAATACATGAGGCACCAACTATGTCTTTTTTCGTACGCTTTGCTTGTTTTGCTATACGATACAGAGATTTCATTTGTTCACCTTTGCTTTTAGTGAGTCACTCTCTGCACTGATCTGTCCGAGCCAGTGCAACTTGACGTCTTGCATAGTTGTTCTTCTCACGGAAAATTTTATTGTCATCAACAGACTTTAATTTTTTCCTTTGATTGTATGCAACTCTCTTTTTTTTATTTGCTTTTTAAATAAGACTTCAACAAGACGCAATTTATTAGATTCATACTTATTTAAGTCCATGATTTGGCTGTATATATATATATATATATATATATATATATATATATATATATATATATATATATATATATATTTATATATATATATAGGTAGGACGTTGTTTTCTTTGCCAACAACTTTTTGCGCCAAATTAGACGTTAAAATTAATTTTAAACCAAATTATATATATATATATACTAATGAAGATTTCATATCTGCTTTGAAAACTTTGAAAACTGAATTGGAAACTCAAAATTTGGATAAATTAGACAAGTTAATTGGTCGTGGCTGTACAAAAAAAGAAAAACTCCTAGATTGTGTCTCAATTTTGAAATACTTGAAAAATAACAGTGTTTTAGAAAAATGTTCGTTATTTGCCAGTGTTAATCTGGCTAAAGTTCTTATTCTTGACAATATAGTTAAAGTTAATTTCAAAAATCTGAAAAACGAAATTAAAGAAATGTTGTACGCTCAACAGGTAAAAATTGTTAATGCAATAGACATGCACGGCATTGAAATTTCAACATTGAACAACAAGATAAATTGTTTAGCGTCTAAACGAGATAACTATAATTTTGCCAGTAATTCGAGTTATATTTCGACGGTAATATTTCCGGAAAAAAACAACATCGTAACTATGCCTAATCCAGCCAATTCAGCTACACTCTGGTCAGTTCAATCTCCATTAGAAGACAACCCTTTGCCATTCAGTGTTATTACTCGTAACAAAAAAGACCAAGACTTAACAATTCACCTGAAACCATTCAACCTAATCCTGCAATTACTAGCAACAAATTGGAATCATCAAAATTACCACTAAAATAGTTGGCGCTAAAAAAAACGACAATAGTAAACTCAGTGCTGATAAAAAATTGATCAAAAAATCTGTATTTGCCATGAACAACATCAAAAAATGCAGCAGAATTAATTTGATTGACTATGGGTATTCAGGTAATTTCGTGCTATCCAGTGCTGAAACGCACTCTGGCTCCGTCGGGTACTCTGCCTCGTAATGAAGACGAAGACTCAACAATGTTCAGAGTATGCATCAACGCCAGTGATACTTCTAAAATTCAAGATCCTGACAATTTGCCAGAAAACGTAATCATCCGTGAATGGCGGTTCCTCAAAAGTAAATTTGGCCATACTACATCAATTAACAATGGCTAAAATATCTAACAATCATACATCAGAAGAGGACCCTCTGATTCTATCGTCAACTTCGAATGTTTTGTTAAATAATTATTCTACTACTTCATACAATAATGATAATATTCTTTTTTCTAACATTGATCCTGATATTAATTTACTTAATTCTTTTTCTTATAATTCTCCTTACTACACTATCAACGATTTTAATTATACTTTCAATACAATCAAAATTCTTCCATTTAACTCTTCACTATCCATTTTGCACATTAACAGTAGGAGTTTATTACATAAAGTTGATGATTTACTAGTTTTGATTAATTCTCTAGATAATTTTTTTAACATAATAGTTATTTCTGAATCTTGGTTGAACGAGTTATCAGCTAAACTTATTAAATTAACTAATTACAATTTTATTTTCAAAAACAGACCGAACAAGCAAGGTGGTGGTGTTGGGATTTTTCTCAAGGATGGTATCAATTATTCAGTCTTGGATGAAGTTACGCTCTCCAATTGTGTAGTAGACTACTTGGGTATCGAAATCAAATTAAACAACGCAGTAATATATTTATATGCTTTCTATAGAACCCCTGATTCGGATATTGATTTGCTTATTCAAGTGCTCAATCTCATTTTTGTGAAACTTAAATCTAAATCTAATACATATCTTGTTGGTGATTTTAACATAAATCTCCTGAAACCTTCTCTTAACCACTCAGTTGCATCTTTTCCTGATTTTTTAGCTTCTTTAAATTTTCATCTTCTTATATCTAAGTCTACTCGTGTTTCTCAGTCATCTTCTTCTTTAATAGACAACATTTTTACTAACAATTTATCAGTCCATTCTTCTGGTATTTTGTTACATGACTTTTCAGACCACATTCCTATTTTTACCACATCTCTTCTCTTGAAATGTATTATACTACTACTCCTCTAAAAGTTTCTAGAAATCTTTCCTACAGATCACTTGAGCAGATAAACTTTTGTTTATCTAATCAAGATTGGTCTTCAGTCACTACACTAACCGATATCAATGAATGTTGCACAAATTTCTACTTTTTTTTCTTCAGGATTCTAGACGCTGTCTCACCACAACTACCTTCCAAGTACAAACGCCATAAAGGTTGGATCAATAAAAATATCATCAAATTATCCAAAACTAAATATAAATTATATATAAAAAGCATCAAATTTCCTACCGATACTAACATCTCTGCCTACAAAAAGTTCCGTAACTTCTTCACTTCAATAAAAAGAAAGACTGAGTGCAAATTCTGTCATCAATTTTGCTGTTTCTAAAAACGATCCCAAATACTAATGGAAACTGATAAAGCAAGCCCTGAACTCCAATTCATCTTTTCTTCCTATATCTAAACTCACCATAAACAATATCCCCATTGACGACAAATATGTGAACACTTGAACGAACACTTTACTACTATCTGCAACAAACTTCTTTCTACTCTTCCTGCTGTTTCAACTAATCCGATTTCATTCATAAGCCGCTCTCTATCTGATTCTATTGATTTTCACTCCATCTCAACTTCTGAATTGATAACTTTAACTGCCAAGACTTCAACTGCTGACG